TAACTGCTACTACTCTGTCCCATTCTGACTGTTGGTGCTCAGTGTAGTATACAACAGAACTTTCTTAGAGCAGTGTTTTAAAAAGAGTCATCTACTAAAGGTGTCACTTAGTAGCATGTTTACCTAACAAGTATTAGACCCTGAGTTCAAACCCCAGAACTACCAAGAAAACCAAAAAAAAAAAAAGGGTTAAAAAATGATCTTTGGGACTGGGAAGGTGGCTCAGTGCTTGCCTTGCATGCATGAGGCCCTGGGTTCGATTCCTCAGCACCACATAAGCAAAAAGCCAGAAGTGGTGCTGTGGCTCAAGTGGTAGAGCGCTAGCCTTGAGCTGAAGAGCTGTGGGACAGCGCCCAGGCCCAGAGTTCACGCCCCACAACCTGACCCAAAAGAAAAAAAAAATTGATCTTTGTATTCATGATGTAGACATCCTATCCTCCCCATAATTTTTATCATCTGTAACATACTTCTGAATTGTTAAATGATACCAATTATTTATTTCAGATGATTTGTCTAAAGTGATCCTAAAATGATAAATAAGCAAATAGATAAATAATATGTTTTGAGCCGTGTAAGAAATAAGCCTTATTGTGTTTTGTTGTTTTTTTGGGGGGGTGGGGGTCCGATCGTGGGGCCTGAACTTTGGGCCTGGGCGCTGTCCCATAGCTCTTCAGCTCAAGGCTAACGCTCTATCACTTGAGCCACAACGCCACTTCCAGCTTCTTTCTTTTTGCATATGTGGTGCTGAGGAATCAAACCCAGGGCCTCATGCATGCAAGGCAAGCACCCTACCACTGAACCACCTTCCCAGCCCCTCCTTATTGTGTTTTGTTTTGTTAATTATTGTGAAAATACTGTACAGAGGGGTTACAATTACATGGGTAAGATAATGAGCCCATTTCTTGTCAAGCATTGTAGCCTCCTGCTTTGTTTCCCCTTCCCATCCCTTCGTATCCTCCCCCCCTCCCCGCCCAACCCCTCCCCCAAAGTTGTAAAGTTCGTTTTTCTACATAATGACTTGTACATCTCATTGTTGCAATGGGTCCTCCTGTATCCCTGTTTTAACAATTTGTTTTTTCCCTTCCCCTCCACATATACCAACATCATATATAGTGCTTATTGTGTTTTTGATCTTTGGGAAATGAATATCTTGAGATCTTTCTGTATTTACCTCTGATTTCTGTTTGTAGGGATTTATTTTCCTGAATCAGGAACTTTGGTGGGAACTGGATGGGTATAGATAGGGAAGAAAAGGCAGTCTGTCCTGCCAGTTTTGCATTGAACCCTCTGTCATTAGACACCTGCTCTCTAACCATTGGAGAAGTGTGCTTCTGTATGCTCATTCACCTTGCTAATCGGTATTGGAGCCGGCTCCTAATTGGTCTTCTGACAAGTTTGCCTTCTTCCATCCTATTTAGAAGTGAAGATCAGGTCCACACTTTCCAATTGGAGTTCATGAGATCTTCCTCATGGCCTAGTGCTTGCTTGCTTGCTTTTTTTTTTTT